CCTGCGGCTGCGGCGGCCGCTCGCCCCTCTCCCCTCACGGCTTGGAAGGTTCCTTCGGGAGCGACAGTGGGCAAGAAGCGCAGGGTCTTGCCGTGGCATTACCTCGTGGAAGCCTGACCAAAACAAAGGAGAGGATGGGCCAAGCGCCTTAGCGAGGCTTTGTCCCATTTTTAATTAACAGCAGTGTTGGTGAACCTCTTGCCATTACCACCAAGTTTTCCTTAGCGAGGCTTTGTCCCATTTTTAATTAATAGTGGTGTTGATGAATGTCTTGCCATTAACAGCAAGTTTTCTAGCAAGTGTTGGCTAGACAGAGCGAAATGACATGCTACCACCAGTGATGTCCTGCCCGGGGTTTCAGCCTCATCCTGTGCAGCCCTGTTTTCCACCGCAAACACCTAAGATGACCCCATGTCCTCTGCCCATCCCCCAACCAGGCGCAGCACAGCCCCGTCTTTCTTCCTTTAAAAGGTCCCTAAAGCGGGCAGCCAAAACTGAGCACAGAGCTTTGCATCTGTCCCACACACAGGGATTTGGACCCTTAATTATCTCACAAAACCCAAAACTAATCTCAGCAGCCAGCTCAGAGGCGCTGCTCTCTACCGAGACCGTTTCCAGCCGAATCTTAACTTTCTAACACCAGTGTGGATGAATGCAGTTCAGGGTACAGCCTTCCTTTGGCTCATGATCTAAGGGTATCCTTCTCCTTATGCAATTAAAAAAAATATTTAAGGAACAGGAAAAAAAAAAATCACCCTTAAGCATTCTTGCCAAATATAAAATCATCAGCTTGCTAGGTGAAATGTTTGGAAAGGGCAAGGCAATGGGAAGCAGAGTTATGACAGATGGTGAGCAGGCACTAGCGCTGCAGCTATAACCCACGGGAGTTATTTCACCACTGTTCCACGGCCAGTCAGCAGTGGGTTGGTATCTGTGAACAAAAGTCTGAGGCAGACTGCTGCTCTTTGGGAAAGGAAAGGAAGACGTTAAGTATCTTGTGAAGGGCAGAAGCAGCCTTGACAAACCTATGCCCCCTCCCATGCCTTGCTTCAAATTATGGTTGTCCCAGTAAGGGACAGAACAATGGTTTGAGCCAGGGTTGTGCCAAACCGCCCAGTTTTTACGTACTTGCATTTCATGTGATGGATGAAAAGGTGCCAGGAACAGGTCATTTCATCCATCACCTCTGTTTGTGCCAGAGGCCCTTGAAAACTTCTCATTCTCTAACTCAGCATGCGTGGGAGATGTTCTCAGTTGAAGAAATTCCGCCAAGGAAGGAGCTTCCCCAGGAAATCAGGAGAAACCTCACCAGTTTTCTTCAGCCTCCCTCCTTCCCCAGCACTCCCAGCAAACACATAACAGGCAAGGGCAAAGGGACAGAAGAGCAGATCCCTGAAACCCTGGTAAGGATCCCACCACTCTCAGCACATCGCAGAGAAGTCTGCAGGGCACGGTAGTTTGCCTCATGGTGCACCGCCATGTGTTGTTTGGAGACGATACAAGCCCAGGACAGGGTTGGTAGGGTGGTTTAGTACCTGTCAGCATGTCCTACTGCAAGCCAGAAGGACCCAGGTGGAGGAGGCTGGCTGCTTGTCTGGGGTTGTTGCAAGCAGAAAGGGAATGCATTGGCTGAACACAGGGAGAAGAGCCCCAGGGAAAATTATCTAGCAATGCTAAAGTACGGCATGAGGCTTCCTGACGAAGGAATTGGTCAGGACCATGGGCACCATTTGTTCTGGAAGGGAAGATGAGCACCCGACACCTCGTTCGACACCTGCCTTTGCCACCTTCCCCTGAGCAAGCGCATCACTATAGCAAACCTCAGCTTCACTCACAGGGACATCCACTCCTGCTCTAGCGCTCTAGATACTCTCTGCTTTGCCATATCCTTGGAATCGTCTGTGTGGAGAATTCCAGATGGTGCAAAGCCATGGCAAAACCACAGCAGCTCAAAGGACCGCGGTGCTTCTAGGGTTTGCCATGGCATTGCTGTCAAAGGTAAAGATAGGCAGGCCTCCTTCTATTTATTTTAAAAACCAGATGCTGTGCAATGCAGAGAAATTTTTGTAGTCCCCGTGGCTTCTTGGAGGGTGTTGGCAGCCTGGAGTTTTGATCAAAGAAATTCCTAGGAAACTCACTGTAAATCTTAGAAATCATTCAGCAATGCCTAGAAAGTAGTCTGTGATTTCTGGAAAGCAATGAGGAATTGCTAGGAAGTACTTGGAAATTTCTAGGAAGTGCTCTGCAATCCCTAGAAAACACTTGGATATATCTAGAAACGACTCTGCAATTAAGAAAGCACCTGAAAATGCCTAGAAACCATGGGTAAAGGCCTAGAAAGCGCTGAGAAAGCTGCCTGAAATTCCAGCGAAGCACGTCAGACTGTTCAGAAGGCACCTTGGAACTCCAGTCCGTAACTCCTACAAAGTTCTCTGCAATTCCTAGAAAGAACAAGGATATTCCTGGAAAGCCCAAAGAAATTCCCAGAAAGTAAGGGAAAATTCCTATGGCCCAGTCTGAATTCCTACAAAGTTGTGGGAAATTCCTAGAAAGCCCACTGAAATTTCTAGAAAGCACATGAGCATTTTTAGAGAGCATCAGGGAATTCCTAGGAAGCAAGGGGAAATTTCTGTTCTGTTAAGTTGTGTTTTCGTTGCTCACCAGGAGTATGACAATTAGCATTGAAAGTGGCTTTGTAGTTACTGCGTGCACTGGTAAGTGGTCAGGTAGGTATGTGATTGCGCTGGTAATTGGAATTTCTGGGTTTTGTGATTTGTATGCTAAATACCAAAGTTTTATGTATATAAACAAGCATGAGGTTTACATACTTAATAATACAAATTGTGGATATAGTCTGCATATACGGAGAGTATGTCTACAGCCAGAGGTTTCTTCTTTCTGTTGCATACACTTCTAGGGAGATCTCACAATAGAAAACTGCAAATATTTACGTTGAGTTCTGCCATGCTAGAGCCTAGTGGACATTTAGCCCATCCCCAGCGGGAGGAAGGGCCGAGTCCCTCGTCCATCTATAGCCCCCTCGCCACGGCTGTGTGTGCAGCCTTCTGGGCTCCTTCTTGCTCCAGCTGAAGGAAGGCAATGGGGCTGTGAATTCCTCCTCCTCCTGTTTGTCACCTATCCCTCTAACTTTCTAAAGGAGTAAACGACTTACAGCGTGGTCCCAAAGTTTTTGAGCAGACCAGCTGCAGCTACTCTCCTTCTTTGTGCAGGCAGCCGCACTATCCTGTGTGTTCCCTCTCTCCTCCTTTGCTTTGCTGATAATCAGGCACCGCCCCTAGGGAAAAAGAGAGGGATTTTACGCTGTTTTTCTCCTTTTCCCATCTTCAGGACGATGTGCATCCAGCTGTCTGTCTCCTCTGAATAGCCAAGCGGGACTGACGTCGTGCTGGGGGCAGGACGGTGGGAAGGGCTGGGTGGGATCTGGGCTTTGCTTGATCATATTTTTTCTTCTTTTTTTCCTCCCATTCTTGCAGAAGCTCCCTTCCAGCAGGCAGGCAAGGCTGCTGTGCACACGCTGCCTTGCACAGGCTTGGCCACAATCCTGAGGTGCTTGGGCAGAGACACCTTTTTGGGGAGGTGCTATCCAGGGGTGAACATCCACTCGCTGGCCAGCACCTGGGGTAAAGTTAGGAAGATGCAAAACTTGTGCCTCAGACCTGAAAAGCAGGACTTCACTGCCCTGTGCGTCCAAGGGAGGATATTCATCATGGCCTGGGGGATCACCCCAGCTCCACAGATCAGGTTTTTCTTGGGGCAGGTGTCATTGCCACCTCTGCAGAGGGGTGAGCATTCCTGTGGCTGGGCCACCAACTCCACCAGCTGCAGGTTCTAGGCTGGATCATTACCTGTTACTTGACTGAAAAACAGAAGGCTATTCTCTGTGCCCACGTGGCAGATTTTGCAGGAAATGTCTTCTTGCAATGGCCTTTCCAAGTGGTTGCATTAAAAATAAAAGCACGCAGGCAAGAGGGGAACATTTTTCAAAGCTTAAACATCCTGTTATTTTCTGAGACAAACTTCAGCTTTTAGTTGCCAAAAAAGATTTTGGTTTGGATTTTCAGCGAATACTTTGAAGGAGCATTTAGGCAATAAATAAGTCATTCGAGTTTTTAGTTGATGACACGTTATTGTTGGTTGGGTTGGAGCACGGACTGGCTCCTGCTGGGACTGGCTGGGGGGCAGAAGGGTTGGTTTGGACCAGCATCCTGCACTTGGGCAGGG